CCTCCGCCCCCGTCTTCTCCCGCAAGGCTCGTACTCAAGCACGCGTGAATGACCCGGGGTGAAACGGCAGGGGGGGATTAGGAGCGGAGAATGGACGGCGGCAAACAGCAGGATTTGGCGCGATTGGCAAAGTTGGGGCGTTTCTTCCTGTGAATTGGAATTCCAGAGCCCGGCGTCGGTAGAGGATGTAGGCTCAGCACATACCTTCCACATGAGTCAGTCCGGCTTGGGTTAGACAGCCAGAGAGAGGGTGGGTTGGGTTGTTTTCTTAGTCCGAGCCAGCCTTTAAAGGTCTCTTACAGCACCTGATATTATACGCTAAACTATTCTCAATTGCAGGAAAGAGACGAAAAAATGAGAAAGAACAACAATATAGAGAGGTGGGGGGGTAAGGAGCCACTTAAGAGACCCATATGAAAAGTGAGGAAACGGTGAAACAAGAGCTGCCAACAGAAGGGAAAAGACCAACAAGAAAATCCCCCCCAAAAAATGTGAAAAAATGCAGAAAGTGGAAATCCATTGACTGACCGTGATGTTTAAAAGACAGGAAACAAGGGTGGAAGAAAATGAAAGGCAGGTGCCAGTGTTCCAACTCTGACCCTGAGGAAAAGTTTTAGACAAAGCTGGCCAGCCCAGGGGCATGAGAACAGCCCTCTTACATCACACACACACACACACACACACACACGTCGGTACACTCCTTCAGCACGTGTCTAACGAGCACTAAGGATTTCTGCTTTTCAAATTGAGGAAAGTAATTACCTGCCTACATGTTCTGCAGGTGCAGCGAGTTATGGGAGAAAAACAAGTGCCGGTAACTCTAAACCCGGCGAGCTGCTTCCAGATGAATGCGGCACCTCGAATACGAATACACGCCTGAGAATGGCCGGCAAAAGTGCATTCGAGATAAATAAATGGGAGCAGAAGGTGGAAAAGCAACTGTAGCAAAAGGGGCAAAGGGAGGACGTGACAGGCCTCCAGAATGCTCCCACGTGATCAATATTCCCATTAAAGAGGCGAAACTGTAGGTAGATACAATAACGAAGAGGGTGACGATCAGAAATAGATGTAGACTGTGTGGGGAAGAGGGATCGACTTGGAATAAGATGGAAAAACGAGTGGAAATCAATCAGTAAATTGTGAAATCTTCAAAGAAATGTGCCTGATTGTGTTCAAATGGCCGGTCCCCATATCCAATCACTAGCATTTTCTTTTCTTTTTCTGTCACATGTCAACCTGTGTAGACATTAACCTTAAAACTGAGGATAAATTCTGACGTGTAGCCAGGTAAAACTTATGCTGAGCAAAGCAAAAATCAGAGACTGTAATGTCTGCTTTTTTAAATCAGAGGCACCCACTTCAAACAGGCTCCTGTCGGGAGTTTTTTGGGACGAACTTTTCTGGTTGCATTCCGCACAGGCAGTTATTTGTCCTTCTTTTCAGCAAAGCAGGTGTCCTGAAAGAAAAGAAAGATGAGTTTTTCTCTCAACGCTCCCATGCGAGTACTTTTTTCTTCTTTTTTTGGTCCAAAAACATGACGTTCACTGGGAGACTCTTCTAAATGGAGGCCTCTCTACACCAGTGTCAGTCTGGGTTGTGGGACGATCCTGTGGTGTGCCGACAGCCTATTTTGTGTACCAGTGGGTCTATTTTTGTCTGGAATCTGCATATGTCTGCTTCTCAAACGCCTAGGTGGTTTGTTTCTTGCAGATATTATCCATTAAGGGCAGTATTCATAAGACCTGTGCACGTACACATCCATGGGCGTGACGTTCACCCAGCTCATGGCAGCAGTTCAAACTCCAAACAAACTCTTAATTTATGACTGACAGGTTGAAGTGAGTTTTTTAGTTTGATGATTCATTCGCGTATACATGTGGGGAATCAAAAATTGATGGATTTTTACAAGCCTGGGGAGGGTGTTTAAAAGGCCAGATGCCCTGACTTCACTTGCTCCGTAAACTGTGCGGCAAACTGGCAAGTTCTACATTTGGCTAGCGAGGAATAACAGCCATTAGCATATGGCTTACAAGGTAAATATATATCCAGGAGTTTACGTGAGCCTTTTAGGCTGGAAAAAAAAAGGTTGGCAAAGTTAAGCAGCTGTTCGTTCTGGTTTTTGAAGCTTTTTACTCCGTTTTTCCCCCGCTTTGCAGTGATGGATGGGTGATCTCTGACAAGCGTTTGAAGCTTGGAGCGAGCATTGAGCTTTTCCTTTCACGTCGGTGTGCTGGTGCACTTTGGTTTTCATTTTAAATTAAAACATTACCCACTGTGTGAAGAATTATCTTAGCTGATGTAGCGTCGTACGTGGACTGGAAACAGATTCTGTGCCACCTTGACCCCTTTAGATTGTGTTCCATGGGAGAATACCACACGTTATTTTGTCTGGCAAAGCTAATAGCCTGCAAAAAAACACTCAAACGATATTTCTATGCTGCTTCATTTTAACTAACATCTACACCGGACCAATATTATGATAGTTCCGATGTATTTGAAATTTGCCTTTTAGGGATTAAACTAATATTATTAAAGGTGTAACACCAGATTTAGAAATATGGTTGTGTATAAAAGACCTTATACGTGTAGGCATTCTCTTCTCTTTCATATGCGTCTGATTGACTTCATTCTACCATGTAGAAGAGGAAACAAAGTAGTAGTTCTCTCTATACAGCTTGCTCTGCGTCTGCCAGGCAGGATACAGGATACAGATGCAGGAAGTTCGACCTGAAACCCACATTGGTAAATCCATTTGAAGGTTTTCCCCCGTTGCGCCTGACACTGAACGTCAGTTTAATACCGGACAATTCACTGTTCATTGTGTTGTTGTCGTTGCAAACGAGATTTTATGATATTTTTCTGTGCCCAGTCGAAAATTTGCATTCCCAGTGCACCACTTCCTGAAATGGCTGGTAGGTTATACATACCAGATCCAGCTGTTGGGTGGTGGGCCATATGGAAGATGGGTGTCGAGCAGCTGCGGTCCGCAAAAACAATATTTTCAAAAAGGTGTTTAGCACATGTCGAGTGGCTTTTGGCCGTTTTGAAATGCCCTCAGGCGGTGGAACTCCTTAAAAATAATGAACGGAGCATGTGTAGGTGTCGAGAGCAATTATCTTGTGTGGAAAGCACTCTCATTGGCTATTTGCTAACAAGTTAGGTAATGATATGGATTGTGTCTCTGTAGATCTATTAAATGATTAAGTTAGTCTTTTAACATAATCGGAAAAGGATTATCAGTTTTTCATGGAAGAAGCAAGAATACCGATTGGAAAAAAAATCAAATATTTGATTATTTATTTGGATCTTATAGCAAGGTTTCTATAGTAACAAGACTCCTGTCTTTGTAGTGTCTCTGAATATTTTGTCTGTGGTTGGCATGCTGCTGAACTTCTATTGGTGTATTTTCTCTTTTGATTTGAGTTCTTGTGGTCTCTCTCTTCTTGCGGAAATGTCTGCAGCAAATCTTTTTTTTTTTTTTTTTTTTAAAGAATGGGAGAAATATAACGCAAACGGCAAGTGCGCGTTTCCCATTTCCCTCCCTGCTTTTGCACACTGTTTTGATAGCATTTCATTTGCAGCTGCTTGCTATTTCCACGGTGGCCCCGACACTCATGGAAGTGGATATCAGGGTGGAGAGTGAATTCTTTCCCAGGGCTGCAATTATTATTTCAGCAGTTTGCCAGTTAACTCGTTTCTCTGACAACTTTTAATGTAATAAGTTTTAAGAGAAAAATAGCCAGAGTTTGTGCCTCTTTTTTTGGACAAACTCTCCAAATATTGCTTTAAAAATCTGAATTCATACCAATTTGGGGGTGGAAAAAGTTGCAAAACATAATGTTTAACAAGATAAAATGCTCATTGTTATCAAAGAGCCAAAGGTTGGAATAATCCGAAGTGAGTCACATGACTTGACAAGCCTCGCCTTCACCTGAAGCCCCACCTTTAAAAAAAAAAAGAAACGCATTAACATCCAGTGTTGTTATCTCTTTGGCCTGAGTAGGGCTGAGTGGGCCCTAACAGAACCCCCCATACAGGGTTTAAATCAGCCCTGGGTCATACTGTACACCAACTCCCCATTCAGGCCTTGAGAGACCAAAAAAAAGTTAATCGGAAAAGAAAGATTACTGAAAGGTTGTTATTTTCCCTCACAATCCGGCCTCATTTCCTACACTGTCAATGTCTCGTTTCTCATTGTGTTAAAATAGCAAGTTAACACTCCTTAACACTAAATTGTGTGTCTTCAACTTTGAAAGATTTCCCACTGAGTAAGTGAACATTAGAAAGAAGTATGGTGAGCATGACTTTTGTTTTTTTTTGTTTTTTTTGTGGGGGGAGGGATATTTTTGAACAACTCAAGGACATCTTGCTCTCTCCCAGCCACAAGCTGCTCCTTTGTCATATTTTTAGACACAACCACATCATTCAAGAGTGTGTTGCTTGCAGGAACTTGTGTACAGACGAGTATCCATATAGTCATTGGTTTGTGTATGATTTATTCCAATTCCAATCTTTTGTACTCTTGTCTACAGTGCCTATACGAAAGCAATTTCCTCTTATTTTTGTGTTTTTCAACCATAACCCAGACATTTAATTAAAATTAAAAGTTTTTTTTCCCTCCTTGTAGGTTATTATTTATTATTGTAATTTTAAAAACCTGAAGTGCAGAGAGAAAAAGCAAGAGAGAAAATAATTTGGCTAGCCTTAGTCAAACATTGTTAATGATGTCATGTCTGAAAGCCTCGTGGAACATAGACAAATGTGTTATCCTCGAAACATTAACTCTTTTCTATTGAAGTCTATCAACCAGCGTCCGCCTAGAAGCAGGATTTTAAGTAACCTGTCTCATTTTAGGCAAAAACACTGAGTGTCCACGATGTATTCATCTCATTTTAACAAGATCTAATTTCTGCAATTGTACTAATCTAATCTAAAACGAATGCCTTCCTGTTTTCTTTTTCTTTTCTTTTTTTACTACAGCGGCACTGCCCTCCATCATCATGACCATTGTGTACAAGCCGTATCAAAGGGGGATTTACTGTGATGATGAGAGCATCAAGTACCCCCTAAAACCAGACACCATCACTCACGTCATGTTCGCTGCCGTCACCATCTCCTGCATTGTCATTATCGTAAGTATTCCTACAAGCCTCCATCAGGTCTGAGCAAGTTTAGTTTCTTTTAACCTCAATTGCCTCATTATTTAAGAAACACCTTATTGATCCTGAATGAATATAATGTTTATACCATTTAGAAGAGGCTTATATATAATGTATAAAAAGGAAAAGATAGCAAAAAAGAAATAAAACAAATGCTTGATACGTTCTTATTTCTGCAGATTTCATCTGGAGAGGCATATCTGGTCTATAGCAAGAGGGTTTACTCCAATTCAGACTTCAACCAGTACGCCGCCGCTCTCTACAAGGTGGTGGGCACCTTTCTGTTCGGAGGGGTGGTCAGCCAGTCTCTGACCGACCTCGCCAAGTACACAATCGGCCGGCCCAGGCCTAATTTCCTGGCCGTGTGCGCGCCCAAGGCCTGCACGGGCTACGTTCCGGTCATCAACTGCACCGGCAGTCTGGCCGACGTCACAGAGTCCAGGTAGGCCGAGATCTTTTATGCTTTTTTCTACACTTACAATAATCACCCATATTTGTCTAACACAATGACAGAAAAACGTCGACAAAACTAAGAGTAACTCGATGCCTTGAGTTCCATTTGTGGCTTCTTGCCTCAAAATGGAATCCGTTCCTAAACACCCCAAATGCTAATGGGCAGATTAGCCTTTGAGGTGCACATAAGAGGATTTAAATTAATCATCCTATTCTTATCACCTAAGTATGAGTTGTGTTATTATACAGTTTATATATTTAAAAATCTCCTAGCTGTGATTCAGGGAAAGTACCACCGTTTTCTAGTGTTTTGGGATTGTGTCATATCCAGAGCCTAAAACCGATAAAGCTAAACATTAATAAACACATGCCCCGAGCAGCTGCTTACGAACCTCCCCAGTGCGGACATTATCATAAACCATATTGGGAAAATAAGGGCGGGAGGATTCATCTGGGGATTTGTTGTTTTGGAATTATACCGCATGACGCATTGAAAGTTAACGTCCTCTTACGTTTTTTTCTTTTTTTTTTTTCTCCAGGCTGTCCTTCTACTCTGGCCACTCCTCATTTGGAATGTACTGCATGCTCTTTCTAGCAGTAAGTACATGCGAGCGTGGGATTCCGCCTTTTAAACGTAGCTTAAACATGTGTGTTCATGGGAAGAAGTGAAAACATGCCCACGAGCCAGGCATTACCTTCCCTGAAGGCTCTTGTTAACCCGATTCTTCAGTTGGAAACCTGAGAACATACCAGAGTAGACCAAAAGTAAAACAAATAACATTTATTGGACACAGTTAAGTATATCAAAAACCTCTCTCTGGGTCTCAGTGGGCAAAGAGCCCTGAGATCTGGGTGTGATGGGCATTATCTCCTGGGCTCAATCCGCCTCCTCAAAGAAGGGGTGGACACAACCAAGTCCTATTGGCCAGTTGCCTCTGGGCATAAACAGGCCAGGTCCTAATTCATGCAGATGACATTGGACTGTGGTAACAAATGGTGTGCGTTTTTGTTGACCTAAAGGTGTGGATCTAATGCAACAGAGAAAGAAAAGGAGAGAAAAGAAAAGACAGTGGTCACAGCTAGATACTTCAACACAAAATATAGTTCTATAAGAAAATAAAACAATTAGTAATTGACATACTTCATGTGATAGCATACAATGCTAAAATGAATAATTATAGCCAAATTCTAACACTCTATTGGACCTGGTACCAAGGGTTCATTGCTGAGAAGGAGAAAAAAGGCCCGGCGGAGTCAGTTTAACATGGAGGAAAAGGCCAAACCTTGTCAGCCTTTTTACCCCCCCAAGCCAAGGGCTGTGTTCCGTCTTTCAGGTCCATTCTGTTCTCTACACTTGGCCTTGTGTCCTCGTGTTAAAATCCGAATGCCAGTGCTGCACAGCGAGTTCCAAGAAAAGCAGCATTTTTTTTTGTTTTTTGTTTTTTTGCAGCTCAGAGAAAACACCACATACATCCGGATCATCCGTAGTTCGGGCTGTACTGTTCTATCAGGCAAAATAAAGCCACCCCTCAGTATCCTGAGTCTGAAAACGTGCAGCGTCTGCCAGGCCTGAGTGGCTATAAATGAGATTTACATTCACCAACTTTTTACAGTTCCGTTTACCTTTAGCTGACGCTTGTATCCAAAGCGAATTCAGAACCAGATTCAAAAGTCAGATCCAATTAATTTATCTTTATCCCCTTTAGACTTTTTTTTTCTTTTCACCCTATTATTTTTTCCTTAGTTTATTAGTATTTTGTTCATTCATTTCTGTTTCGTTTTTCCCCTTCCCTTTCTCTTTCCATCCCTTAGTCATTTTAATTTACTTTAATTTGAGCTCTGTGCTTAAACATGGGGTTGTGGGGATGTGGGTGGGTGGGTGTTCTTTCTAAAAATTGTTTTAAAAAAGTGAACATTTGTTGTGTTTGGGGTCTACCCCATCCTCTCTGACTCTTTGTATTGCTGTTGCTCAATAAAGAAAATTAAAATAAAAAAAATGTCGGATCCAATATGACCCAACTCACTTCCCAAAAAAATATGTTTTATGTCACTGAGGGTTGGGGATTAGATGGCAGCAAACTTAAATTTCCCCACAGTGAAATCAGTCGCAACACAGTTGTCGTGTGTGTTTTTGTATGTGTGTGTGATAACGTTTGAGTCATTTGAGGCATTTTTTTCTCACCGTTCTCTTTTTCAAACCCCCTCTCATTTTATCTCTCCCACCTCAGCTTTATGTGCAGGCCAGACTCTCCGCCAAGTGGGCGCGGCTTCTGCGGCCCACCGTCCAGTTCTTCCTGGTGGCCTTCGCGGTGTACGTGGGTTACACCCGGGTCTCCGATTACAAGCACCACTGGAGCGACGTGCTGGTGGGGCTGCTGCAGGGAGCGCTCGTCGCCATCCTCAACGTGAGTCTCCATGGCAACGCCGTCCCGCGGAAAAAAACACATTTGACATTTGAAATTTTATCTTTTGGTAAAACAGCCGCCTCTCACCTCTCGAAGTCTTTACTCCGGCTTCGGACCGCCGTGGTCGGAATTGTTTTTGGGGAAAAGCAAATGTCACCAAAAAAATGACAGCGTGGTGGAAATCTTACAGCCGGCAATGCTCCTGGCAGAGCAGAAATGTCACAGATTAAACTCTTTTCAGCCCCATTTGTTTTGTTTTAAACGGCTAATTGGAATAAGTGCAGAACACAGAGTCTCCATTTGAACCAAGTTGGTTCTCATTTCATTGAACCAGGCTTCTTGGCCACTTTCCTCTTTTGATTGTGAAAATTCTCGAGTGGCGGAGTGTGTGTTTTTTTGCTTCTTGAGTGTGTGTCTATGTGTGTTCGTGAATGATGAATCGGGACCTGAGCCAATGTCTTTGGCCTACGCTCCACCGCGAGCAATTAGATAGCCCCGGGCCGCCGTGTTTTACGGCTTATAAAAGCTTGTGCCTGCTCTCTGTGTGTTCCTTTCAGATTTGAGTTTGTATAAATGTCGATGTGACGTTTAAGAGCTCAGCACAGACCAACGCCAACACGTAAAATCCCAATTTCAAGCCCTGTGCGATCATATTTTATATTTTTACGTGTCTTTACCCGGTCTAATTGGGTAGATATTTCCTTGGTGACAATATTTTTTATCTAAACTCCTTCTGCAGGTTCGCTTCGTGTCGGATTTCTTTAAGGAGCGTCCTCCGCGTCGCGTACGGTCAGAGGGAGTGGACGGCGAGGAGCCGGCGAGGAAACCGAGCCTCCAGATCGCGGACGCCGAGCACGGCAACCATTACGGCTACCGCAACAGCCCCGGGCCTTTGTGATAGGCCGCTGACGTTCGGTCGTAGCCTGTGGACCCCTAAACCTGTGTCGTGGGTTCTAAGTCCCGGGGGGCTTAAGACCTTCTTAGTTCAGGTACCTGGAACAGCCATGGCCTTGACTGCCCACTGCCCTGGAACTGACCCCTTTCTGTGCCTGTGTGAGTTCTGCTCATTGTTTTGTTTTTTTGTTTTTTTTTAATTCACGGCGGGGATCTGTTTTGGGGATCTGGTTTTGTAGCTTTTAGCCACCGTGTCCCCAAGCTTTTTTCCCCCTTTGTTGTCAACCACTCAACATCCAACCTGCTCCTCTGGACTGACCGAGGGGGGGACGTCCCAAAACCAGAGGCCTGGGCCCCCCCGAAAAGAGACTTCCTTTTCTCCTGTCCATGAGAGGGGAGTATGCTGTTTTTATGTACGCTTCTAGCTTTTTGAAGCAAAAAGACTCCATACAAAAAAACTAAAACAAAGATAAAACATACTTTTGCCTTATTGAATACTTTTAGGTTATGTGCTTTTAGACAAGTTAAGCTAAGCAGACTAAAAATAACATCACAATGGTATTTATCACTTTGTTATTCATCACACAGGCAAATGGAAAACTGATATTTACTCCACTGCCCGAGTGAAAAGCACGATCCACGTTAATTTCACGTATTCAGTAAGCTCACTATTTTGCAGGAGGTGTTTAATCTGTCTCTCAAAAAAGCTGATACACTACATATAAGCAAGACTGGTTGAATTTTGAAGTAACCGTTACAACAGCTACAACCTGACGATGCATAAAAACTACAGATATATGTAAATACAGGAAGGTCCAGATGCTGGCTAACAGTTTGATTAGCAGTAGCAGCAATTGTTTTACATTCTGAGATCTCTTTGTCATACTGTTGACCTAATAATTGCTAACTTTTTTGTATTGTATTTGTATCTTATTTGCATATGCAGACAACCAAATTTGTCGGCAACGATTGTAGAGAGGTCAAACTCTGCCCATTTGTGAATGTTCGTAGATCTTGGTTACGGTTTGTGAATTAGCTTAACGGTAGTGCACCTTAAATCGACTACACACTAATTCAGATGAATGTTGCACAAACTAAAACGTCACCATCGGACTGTGTGTATCCCAGTCCATGTGTGTGTGTATTAACCCCCGTGTGAAACAAAGCAGAGACATTTGTTTGCTGCCATACAAAATGGCCGCCATACAAACATGACTCAATAAGTAAAGTTCTCTGAACTGATTTTTATTTAAATCGCTATTGATAGATTTCTCTTACGGTTGTTATGGCTAGTGGCCACTGGTCTGATTTTTGTAATGTCCCGACACATCCAAATTCACCTTAAACTGTAGCCATTTTTAATATCTACCTTTTTTAATTGTAGAAATTTGATCATAATTGTTAGGATTGATTTCTGTTACCCAATTATACGCAATTATATGACTGCATGGACTGCACATTCAGAAACAATTGACGAATTAAACTTCTATTTTTGTTTAAATTATGTGCCACCACTATAGTGCCAGTGAAATACTAAGACATTTGCCTTCTTTTTTAACCATTTTATCTTTTTTCTTAGTTTATCTTTTTTACAAATAATCAGAGAAGGACCAAACAACCATTTTGAAAATGGTGTTTAATTTATTTTAGATCAAAAAACCTATTAATTGTCTTTGACTGAGCTGACATATCCAGCTCTGTTAAGGTTTTTTTGTGCAATCGTTAGTCGGACTTCTGAAAAGACGTGCCTGTATCCTTTTGAAAAGTTTCACTTTCAAATGTACGGTGAAACTAAAACTTTCGGCTTTGGCCCGTGCTTTTCTTTGTTGGATTTGCCAACCTTAAATACAAACCAGGTCTTTTGGCAAGCCTTTTTTAAAGGGCTATTCTAATAATTTGAACAAGCTACATCCCCAACTCTGTTTTTGAATCTGTTCCCACTACAGAGATTGATCATTTGCTCTCCATCTTTTTCATGTTTGTGCATGGAAATAATTTGAGCGTAAAATGTCCTGTATAATTCTTTTAAGAGTGTGCCAGACCGCTGTAGAACTGACAGATCTCTAACCTGATAGTGAAGCGGATACATTGGTGCAGACAGGAAGAGGGGGAGGAGGGGGGTGGTTCACCTGGTTGTGATTGGAAGGGCCTTGAGGGGTTTGTACCCTACAGAGGAGGGGCAGTAAAGGGGGGGTGGGGGGGGGGGGCACGCTGGCTTTGGGGACTTCCATATATTCAGAACTCTGACAACACAACAGAAAACATCTGGAAGCGGATGCAGGGATGTGATTGGCTCCGCCCCCCCCGCCCCCTCCACCTCATCTCACTTTCAAGATTACAACTGTGTTAAATTCCCCTTCGTCTTCGTGGAAAGTAAAGTTGCCCACTCCATTTTCAGGCCATTGTGTTTGCTATTCTTCAGCCTGTAGGTTATTTCTATTGTCTTCAAGCCAGAGAATTTTAAAAAATAAAGATATATTCAACCTTTGACGGCATGATTTTGTTTGTTTTAAATCGGTATCGCTTATTTTTACGGTTGCAAAGACACCAGGATGAATGAATTATGATAAACTTTAAGTAGTGTTGCGATATCAAGCCATTCTTCACAGTAGGGCATTATTACAGCCATTTTTTTTAAATGAAATATGATGCAATTAATTTGTCATTTCAGCTGCGCTAAATTAAACAAATATCAGACTGTTAAATCATTTTTATTGCTCAGTACAAAATAAATAGGGTATATCATATTTATTTGTGGTGCTTAAACCTTTAAAAAAGTTATTTACTAGCATTTGTGTTCCACAACATACATTTTGGTTTCATGGGGATGAAACAAACCTTTGATTGCAGTCATTTTAGACAATAAAGATTACATTTTTCCCAGGAGTACAAAGCAAAACATCATTAAATGTTCCTTTATCTTTGTTAATATGAAAAATATAGATGGTGATCTATGGAGTTAGGCCGATCTGCTACACTTTTGAAATATTTCTGATGTAATCGGGGAAAAGTTCTCATCATTTAAGTTTCACGAGATGTAATTTCTGTCATTTTGTGCATCCGAAGGCTCCATCACTGTCACAAGAATAAAATCCTAATTGCACATGGGATTATTAGCATCAGAGAGTCATGTCACTCCTTGTGGTTCCTGTATCAGCCAGTACTAATATACAAAAAATGGTTAACAAAATTAGCAAGTTCCTCATCTTTAGCATGATTTGCTTTCACATTAACTGTTTTTATTTTCTTATAAAGTATAATCAAAACCAAATACTGAGGAATGAGAAGAGTTAACCAAGGTTACTTTCCTCTGCATGGTTGAGGAATGGAATGCTCCACAAAATAAACACATATATTTATAACGAAATAAACAGTGGACCCTTAGAAACATTTGTGGGAGTTTTGTTGGCAGCAATATTGAAAACCACTGTCATCCTTCATTAGAAATAATGACTCGCTAACATGTTGTGAAAGTTTGGGCCATTTTTAACGTGGTGTCAAAATAGGAGGGAATGGAAAAAAAACCTCGAAATTCTTATTTACATAAACATGTAGCCATGTAATCTCATTTTTCCTGATGATTTACAGCCTGTGACCTGGCAGCTGCTCGTTCATTTCTCCAGACACACGTGAGTAAGACCCTGATGGATATTTTACCCCTAAAGGCCTCATGGAAACTGTGCCTTGTTGTTGCACCGTGAGATGTCATCGCTATGGTAACCGGGCCATCTCTGAAGGCTGTTTTTGTAAAACGGCATCTAATTTTAGAGAAGCCTCAGGGACAAATGAGACCGGGAGAAAAGGGTTATCTACTTAGAGTTTATGAGATCAATTTTAGTGGCTTAACCTTGTTTTCTGTGTTTTTAAGTTTCAAGTAAATATGCTGGTAGACTGGAACCATGTCACGCTGTTCTGTGGTAGTTTTAAATGAATTGCCAAATCCCAGTTGCCTATCAAGGACCCCCCGTCCAGTTTGCAAAGGTAAGGTCTCTGTTTTCATCGTACCAGTTATTTATCCCTACAAATTGCTTGATTTGTGGTTATTTGGACAGTAAAATGCCAACACTTCTCAATCGCCAAAGGAAAAGGGCTCAATTACTCATTCCAAATCATTGGAAAAACCCCATCAGATAAAAGTAAAGTCATCGGGGCGTGATGAGCTTGCATCTCATGCTTTTTTTAAAATTAATCCTCACATTTTTCAGTATTCAGTCATCCATTTTCTTTACCCACTGGAACCTATCCAAGCTACTATTGGTCAAAAGGCAAGGAATTATGTTGTAGAATAGTTATGAGACTTTACATTCAAAGTAATAAGTTGTTTAAGTTGATTAAACACACAAACACGTCATTTTTCTAAGAAGAAAAGTACAACATCTCTCCTTGATGTACTTTTGCCAAATGGAATGTACTTTTTTCCAAACGGAAGTCGTCTTGTATAGAATCCGTACCCCAAATATGTAGTTTAATGCCATACTTGACTTGAACATAAACAGTAATATATGTCTTTAACCCTTTAAAGCCTGATCCAAGAATAAAACAAAACAGAATATTACTTTTTTTTTTGTTTCAATTCCTTATTTGGCCTTTTAACAAAATATGTAAAAAGAAAAAAGAAAAATACATTTTTAATATTAATAATTTATTACTATGCGATAAGTCAAGATTATTTTTTGTGTAGTCTTCTGCCCCCTGTTATCAGGTGTATCTGATTGTGTACAATAGGATTTTGAGCAAATCTTTTACCATTAAATTATGCAAAAGGTGTCAGAAGCAAAACATTTCAGAAACATTATGTATCAAATATGATACATTTGGCATTACAGGGTAAAAACGTATGCAGAACATCTGACTGGCAAACAATAAATTATCAAAAGCAAACATCAGACTCATGAATGGTCTTCTCCACCACAATGGATGTGAGTTCTGTGAATGGCTCTGAATCATGTGACTGGAAAATAAGCTATTTGTCACATTTTTGTGTACATTTTTGTTTCCGTTTAT